CGCAGGGTCTGGCGCGGGCGGATCGCGACGGTGGTTGGCGGCGCGCTGGAGGCGGGGCACGCCGGCGCGGGCTTGGGGGCGACGGCAGTTTCCCCTGGTGTGCGTGGGAGTCCGCTCGGGGCGCGCGGCGGCGGCCCTCGACAAGCGTGGGCGGGCGCTGGGCTCTCGGCGGCGCTCTGGCATGTGCAGGCGGCGGTGGTCCCTGTGCGCGGTCGGCGGCTCCGTCTCTGACCCGGACGGTGCGAGGGATGGCGGCGGCCCGACGTGGCCGGCGATCTGGATGCGGTGGTGCCGGCGGCTCGCTGATCTGCCGGTGCTCCAGGGTTCTGCCTGTTGGAAATATGCCCTAGAGGCAATAATAAATTAGTTATTATTATATTTCCTTGTTCATGATAATCGTTTATTATCCATGCTATAATTGTATTGATAGGAAACTCAGATACATGTGTGGGTACATAGACAACACCATGTCCCTAGTAAGCCTCTGATTGACTAGCTCATTGATCGATAGATGGTTACGGTTTCCTGACCATGGACATTGGATGTCATTGATAACCAGATCACATCATTAGGAGAATGATGTGATGGACAAGACCCAGTCCTAAGCCTAGCACAAAGATCGTAGTTCGTATGCTAAAGCTTTTCTAATGTCAAGTATCATTTCCTTAGACCATGAGATTGTGCAACTCCCGGATACCGTAGGAATGCTTTGGGTGTACCAAACGTCACAACATAACTAGGTGGCTATAAAGGTGCACTACAGGTATCTCCGAAAGTGTCTGTTGGGTTGGCACGAATCGAGACTGGGATTTGTCACTCCGGTTGACGGAGAGGTATCTCTGGGCCCACTCGGTAGGACATCATCATAATGTGCACAATGTGACCAAGGGGTTGATCACGGGATGATGTGTTACGGAACGAGTAAAGAGACTTGCCGGTAACGAGATTGAACAAGGTATCGGCATACCGACGATCGAATCTCGGGCAAGTACAATACCGTTAGACAAAGGGAATTGTATACGGGATCGATTGAGTCCTTGACATCGTGGTTCATCCGATGAGATCATCGTGGAACATGTGGGAGCCAACATGGGTATCCAGATCCCGCTGTTGGTTATTGACCGGAGAACGTCTCGGTCATGTCTGCATGATTCCCGAACCCGTAGGGTCTACACACTTAAGGTTCGATGATTCTAGGGTTATAAAGGAAGTTTGTATGTGGTTACCGAATGTTGTTCGGAGTCCCGGATAAGATCCCGGACGTCACAAGGAGTTCCAGAATGGTCCGGAGGTAAAGATTTATATATGGGAAGTCCTGTTTTGGTCACCGGAAAAGTTTCTGGTTTTTGGTAACGTACCGGGACCACCGGGAGGGTCCCGGGGGTCCACCAAGTGGGGCCACCGGCCCCGGAGGGCTGCATGGGCCAAGTGTGGGAGGGGACCAGCCCCAGGTAGGCTGGTGTGCCCCCCACAAGGGCCCAAGGTGCCTAGGGTTTGGGGAGGGGGGCGCACCCACCTAACTTGGGGGGCAAGTTTCCCCTCTCCCCCCCCTTGGCCGCACCCTAGATGGGTTGTGGGCTGCCGCCACCCCTAGGGAGGGAACCCTAGAGGGGGCACAGCCCCCTTCCTCTCTCCTATATATACTTGAGGACTTCGGGGCTGCCAACAGATGAGTTTCACCTCTCCCTGGCGCAGCCCTACCTCTCTCCCTCCTCCTCTCCCGCGGTGCTTGGCGAAGCCCTGCAGGATTGCCACGCTCCTCCATCACCACCACGCCGTTGTGCTGCTGCTGGACAGAGTCTTCCTCAACCTCTCCCTCTCTCCTTGCTGGATCAAGGCATGGGAGACGTCACCGGGCTGTACGTGTGTTGAACGCGGAGGTGCCGTCCGTTTGGCACTAGGATCTCCGGTGATTTGGATCACGACGAGTACGACTCCTTCAACCCCGTTCTCTTGAACGCTTCCGCTTAGCGATCTACAAGGGTATGTACATGCACTCTCCTTTCCCTCGTTGTTGGTTTCTCCATAGATAGATCTTGGTGACACGTAGGAAAATTTTGAATTTCTGCTACGTTCCCCAACAGTGGCATCATGTGCTAGGTCTATTGCGTAGATTCTTTGCACGAGTAGAACACAAAGTAGTTGTGGGCGTTGATTTTGTTTAATATGCTTACCATTACTAGTAAAATCTTGATTCGGCGGCATTGTGGGATGAAGCGGCCCGGACCGACCTTACACGTACTCTTACGTGAGACAGGTTCCACCGACTGACATGCACTTGTTGCATAAGGTGGCTAGCGGGTGCCAGTCTCTCCCACTTTAGTTGGATCGGATTCGATGAAAAGGGTCCTTATGAAGGGTAAATAGCAATTGGCATATCATGTTGTGGTTTTGCGTAGGTAAGAAACGTTCTTGCTAGAAACCCATAGCAGCCACATAAAACATGCAAACAACAATTAGAGGACGTCTAACTTGTTTTTGCAGGGTATGCTATGTG